CTGTTAGGGATATTTCACACCGCATTCCCTTGCATTCAGATTCAAAACCAGTACAAATCAGACCTTATAAATATCCTCACTTTCAAAAAATAGAAATTGAACGTTTGGTGACTGAAATGCATCATTCCGGTGTCATTCGTGACAGCACGAGCCCTTTCTCTTCCCCAGTCCTCCTGGTCAAAAAGAAGGATGGCTCTTGGCGTTTCTGTGTAGACTATCGGGGCCTCAACGCCATTACCATCCGTGATTCTTTTCCGATGCCTACAATTGAGGAGATTTTGGATGAATTGCAGGGTGCTGTCATTTTCACCAAACTAGATTTACGTTCAGGATATCACCAAATTCGTATGGAGGATAGTGACATACATAAGACAGCTTTTCGTACTCACATTTGGTCTTACCAATGCACAGCTACTTTTCAAGCTACCATGAATCGAATCTTTCGACCCTTCTTGCGTACCTTTGTGACCATCTTCCTTGAAGATATTTTGATTTATAGCAAGAATTGGGAGGACCATCTTCAACACCTTCGATTGGTTTTGGAGACACTACGGACTCATTCTCTTTTTGCCAAGCTTACTAAATGTGATTTTTGTAAAGCTTCAATGTATTTGGGACATGTTGTATCATCTAAAGGTGTGGAGGTCGATAACTCCAAAATTGACACTATTTTATCTTGGCCATTACCACACACTATCAAGAAGTTACGGGGGTTTTTAGGTATCACTGGTTACTATCGTCGCTTTGTAAAGGGCTATGCCAACATTGCTTTTCCCCTGACAGAGATGTTGAAACGGGACAGTTTTCATTGGACACCCGAATCTGAAACAGCATTCAAAAAATATTTGTTAGGTTCCTTATTTGTGATTCACACTGATCACAAAAGTATAAAGGAGCTTTTGCAACAAGTGATTCAAACCCAGATCAACAATCTTATGTGAGAAAACTTATGGGTTTCACTTTTCGCATTGAGTACAAATCAGGTAGCTCTAATTGTGTTGCAGATGCTCTTTCGAGGGTCCCTACTACCCAGGATGATAATGCCACTACTCTGCCTTCAATTTTTCTTGCCATAGTTTCTGGGCCTGTCTTCCAACTTATTGACCAGTTGAAGCAAGAAAATCTCACTGACCCTTCTCTCCAATCATTCCATTTCAAACATCAATATGGAAATCTATTTTTTCCTTATTCCGTAAGGCAAGGGTTGTTGATGTTCCACGGTCGATATGTAATTAGTCTTACCTCATCCTTATGCAAAGTGCTCATCAATGAATTTCATGATACTCCTAGTGGTGGACATGCAGGCATCAAATGTACTCTTGCTCGGTTATCTGCTAATTTTTGTTGGCCCAAAATGCGGCAAGTTGTTGCTAACCATATTGCTCAGTGTCTTTTATGTCAACAGGTGAAGTATTCCACTCAAGCCCCGGCAGGTTTATTGCAACCTTTGCCTATTCCTGAAGCTGTGTGGGAGGATATTACTATGAATTTTATTACTGGGCTTCCTCCATCAAAAGGATTTTCTGCCATTTTGGTGGTGGTAGATCTTCTCTCGAAATCTACTCATTTTGGTCCTTTACCTTCTCATTTTACAACCAGTAAAGTAGCCACTCTTTTCGTTGATCTGGTTATTGTCATCATGGGTTTCCTCGCTCGATTGTCTTTGATCGTGACCCAATTTTTATGAGTTCCTTTTGGCAGCAACTATTTGCACTAAGTGGTACAGAGTTGGCCATGAGTAATGCCTATCATCCATAAACTGACGGCCAAAGTGAAGTTGTCAATATGGGATTAGAGAAGTATTTGCGTGCTTTTACACAAGATAAACCAATAGACTGGGTCTCCTTTCTAAGTTGGGCAGAATTTCATTACAATACTAGCTTCCATAGTAGTCTCAACATGTTGCCATTCTAAGCTCTATATGGCCGCATTCCTCCCACGATTCCACAATACACTAGAGGCACAACTGTAATTCAGGCTCTAGATGAGAGCCTTACTACTTGGGATGCACTGTTGCGCACCTTGAAAACCAATTTGTTGGCTTCACAGAACCGCATGCAAATGAAAGTTAATCGTCATTGTCGTGAAGTGAGCCTTGAGGTTGGCGACATGGTGTTGGTGCATTTACAGCCTTATAGACAATCGTTGGTTTCACAAGGTCGTCATCACAAGCTTTGCAAACGCTTTTATGGACCATTTCCTGTTTTGGAGCGTGTGGGCCAGGTTGCATATCGTGTGGGCTTACCCGCGAGAAGCCGTATTCATCCTGTTTTTCATATTTCAGTCCTCAAGTTGTTTCGCGGTCAGTTGGTTTCACAAACTCGCGACTTGCTAGCTGGTAGTTTTGATAACAAGCCTGTGGAAATTCTTGTAGCAATTTGTGCATCTCGCAATGTGTTGAACCATGGTGTTCCCCAAAAACAAGTGTTGGTTCAGTGGGAAGGACATAGGCCAGAGGAAGCCACCTGGGAACCATTTGCATAATTCTACTCTGCTTATCCAACCCTTCACCTTGAGGACAAGGTGAATTTTGAAGGAGAGGAAAATGATACAGTTCATAAGCAAGCTCTTCCTATTGAGTTGGGTCATACATCTATGCAAGCACTTGCTGAAGGGATGATAGAGGAACCATTGGTGAAAAGTAGGAAGCCCAAACACACCATCAAGAGGCCCACTAAATTGAGTGACTGTTTGCTACAAATAAATCTTAATATACAAATAATATTGAATGAAGATACTCTTTTGTTTTTACTAGTATTATATTGTTAGCACAAGGTAATTGGATAATCTTACGTGTTGAGTCCTTATAATTTTGTAGTGGAATTGGAAAGGAGGTGAATAAAAATTAGGCTAAAACCCTATTTTGGTCCCTTATATTAATTGTTTGTTTCAATTTAGTCCCACTTTTATTTTTGGCTTCAATTTGGTCCCAAACTAATTAATTGGTTTCAATTTAGTCCCAAATTAATTAATTGGTTTCAATGTGGGACTCCCGTCCAAATTATTTAAACGGAGTTAACTTTTGGCCACGTGGATGCCACGTGGATGCATACGTGGATGCCACATGGATAACAATTTTTTTGAAAACACCTGGACCCGGAACGGCCCATTCTGAAACCAGAACGGGCCGTTCTGATTGCACTTTTGGTGTGTTAATTTTGGAACTGAAACAGGCCGTTCCAGATGCAAAAAATTAACACACCACCAGTGCAGCAGAACGGGCCGTTCTGGTTTCAGAACGGGACGTTCTGGATTCAGAACGGGCCGTTTTGGATTTAGAACGGCCCGTTCCAAAACTGAGAATAGAATATTCTTGACTTAATTGTGTTTTTGACCGCTCAAGTATTATAATTATGCAATTTTGATCCCTAAGGTTTTAATTGAGTAATTTCAATCCTTAAAAGATTATAGCTGTGTAATTTTAGTCTCACAATTTTTAATTGAACAATTTTAATCTCTCAAATATCATAATTGTGCAATTTTAGTCTTTCTCATTAAAAATTTAATAATTTTAAAATTTTAATATATATATATAATGTTTTAAAACTATATAATTGTTTGCTTATTTAAATTAACGTATATTATAATTTTTTTAATGTATCAAATGATATATATTTATTATTACTAAATAAATAAAATTTATATATTATTAGTATTTTAATATTACTGATAAATTAATATCAATAATATTTTTACTATATTTATAAATAAACTAATAATTTGATAAATATAACTTAATATATATTAATATACTTTTACAAAAATATAAATATATAAGATCAGATATATATTTCTAATTAATATACTTATATTTTTGTAAAAGTATATTAATATATAACAAGTTATATTTATCAAATTATTAGTTTATCTATAAATATATTAATAATATTATTGATATAATATCGAAAATTATAATATACGTTAATTTGAATAGATAAATAATTATTTAATTTTAAAACATTATATATATATATATTAAAATTATTAATTTTTAATGGGAGAAACAAAAATCATACTATTATGATATTTGAGGGACTAAAATTGTTCAATTAAAAATTGAAGGACCAAAATCGCGCAATTGCAATTCTTTAAGGACTAAAATTATGCAATTAAAATCTTGGAGATCACAAAACTGCACAATTGTAATACTTGAGGGATAAAAAATGCAATTAAACCAATATTCTTAATTAATTTTATTAAAAAATATAATAATTAATAAGATAAAAGGAATATCACTTTATAATTTTTTGCAACTTATTTAAGATTAAAGGAATAAAATGATAAAAATTAATAAGATAAACATAATAAAATAAAATATTAAAAAAATATTAATATATTTATTTTATTAGATATAATAACATAATTAAAATATAATTAATAATATATATTTTATAGAATTATTAATATTTTATATATAAAAAAAGGATGAAAGCGAACGACTCGTTCTGAAATCGGAATGGGACGTTCTGGTTGCACTTTTGTGTGTTAATTTTGCACCTGGAACAGGCCGTTCCGGATGCAAAATTAACCCACCAAAAGTGCAACCAGAACAGCTCGTTCCGGTTTCATAACGGGCCGTTCTGGGTCCAGGTGTTTTCAAAAAAAAATTATCATCCACGTGACATCCACGAAGCATCCACGTATGCATCTACGTGACATCCACGTAGCCAAAAGTTAATTCCGTTTAAATCATTTGAATGGAAGTCCCAAATTGAAACCAAATAATATATTTGAGACCAAATTGAAACCAATTAATTTATTTAAGACTAAATTAAAACCAAAAATAAAAGTGGGACTAAATTGAAAGAAACAATTAATATAAGAAACCAAAATAGGGTTTTAGCCTAAAAATTATAACAGAATTATTCTCTCTTACTTCTTTTTTCCTTCATCTTTCTTTTTTTTTGGAGCAAACACCTGGTCGAATGGTGCTCTTCTATTTCTATTGTAACACATACCAAAATATAAAATTTGGACTAAAAAGACACATTTAATACGTGGTGTAGACGTTCTGCTCTACATTATGTCAGTTTATACAAAGAAACCAACAAAATATTTTATGGTGTTATATAATTATAATTATCTTTTTAAGAAAAGAAATACCGAAATTCTTGCGTAGTTATAGTACATCATTCACATCGTATGTAAATAATCATATAAAACTTCTGCTGCCTGTGTCCGTGCACTCAGATAACCACAAGTCCATATGTTCAGCAATCATTTGCCTTACTTTGTGAACTGCATCAGGATTGGTGCAGTTTTTCTCACTACCTGAAAACAAAATTCACTAATCAGAACGTTGGTATAACTTTACATTGATCATATAATTTATCTGTTGCTCTTTTTATAATTATTACTAAATGACTAATATAGTGACTGGTGCTTGCGCATATATAATGGGGAATGCTAATATACTCCCATCTATTTTTTAGTAGAAGTATGTTAGCAACCTACACCAAAATTTTAAGACAAAAAAATCACTATTTCTTTTGATTTAGTTAATTTGTATAAAGGATATTTAAATTAAATTACTATAATATCCTTTATACAAATTAACCAAATCAAAAAAAATGAGTGATTTTTTTGTCCTAAAATTTTGGTGTACGTTACTAACATATTCCCACTAAAAAATAAGTAGGAGTATATTAGCATTCCCATATATATATATATATA